TTGCGGTGCGCGAATAACGGATAAACGAGGGAACGTTTTGGCTGATAGAGAGAAGCATTTGTATACCATATCCGATATCAAATCACCTTATTCGAAGATTTATAAGCGGCTCGATTTCTTGTGATAGATATACACACCTATGCGATAAGAGATATTGAATGCAAAGTCGAAGGGTTTATATCTTCGAACTTTCGTGTTTTTGTGTCTACAACAATGTATTTACTTGCGAAACATACCTACTTCTAATGCTACAACTAACAGATAAATTTTAAATTTTATCTGATTCTCAACAAACATCGTATATAATTACCATATAATGTAGTATGCCATATTACATGTGTATATTTATATTATATTGCAATTATATCTATGTTTGCTGAATTATCATAAAAAAAGCATTAAGACGTGAAAATTAAGAAAATTTTGTCTAATAGAATATATAGTAAATATACAATTCTAATAGAAACTATTTAGTTAAATAGTTTGGAATTTTGATAAAGTTGAATAGTGTTTATAATCTTTATCAGTATTTAAAAATTTTTAAATTAATTACTTAAATTTTTTATTTATTAATTAATTAAAAAATCTTAATTAAATTACGATTTGTAATCCTAATTTAGAGATATATATTAATATGTAATATACAAAATTCGGTTGTATATTCGGTAACAATACGAAACGATTTGGAACCATGTAAATATTTTACATGACTTTACATCGATTCTAATGCTCACTATCTATATCCGTGTGTCACTCTAATATGATCGATTGACATTATCTCGGTATCAATTACATAATTGATTGAATTTCTCTGTTCCTAGTTCCTAACATGTAAAGGTATTTTTGTATCACTTTTGGAATAGATTGACAGCTGTTTGTTCCTCACTATCATTTGAAATCCATTTTCAGTTATCCAATTTTGTATATGACATTTTCGCTTAAATAATAATTTCCAAAGACTTTTCATTGTAAGTTGGTATAAATAGAATTGGGACAAGAAACAATATTTAAAATAATTTCTAAAGTTAAAGTGCCCATCTTCAATCGATATATATAAATAAAATTATCTACAAAAAACGTTATATCTAGAAAGAATAAAAAGTTGTATTACTCTAGCGATTAATTAAATTGAAGAAAGATAGGAAGTGATCTATCCAAGTAGTTAATCGTCAAACAAATATTGTGATAATATCAGTAGCTCGTTCCTGCGATCGTTAGAAATAATTTTCCTTAATCTGATTTCGTATCTGTGTTGCATAGTGTAGGTGGTAATTTCGCTCAGGTCATATAAATGGAGATTGCGCACAAGTGTGGTAGGGTATGAAAGATCACAAGGTTGTTCGCAGAATGCTATTCAAATTGTAATGTCAACGATACAGTACACCGTACGAAATAATATTCTTTCCCTCTTTGATAATGGTAGTAGCCTTCGGTATTATTAATCACAGTATTTACTAACTGAAAAAAGAGCATTATATGTGCAACATAGAAAGGGCAAGTTAGAATATTTAATGTAACACAATTTCCTTTAACTGATTTCTAACCAGGCGACGAAAGTACTATGCCCATTAGCAATCTGTGACGAAAACTTGGCCTTTACCGGCAATCTTGAGATCTTTGATAAAAGAATGTAATATCTGATGCTGTCAATATAACGAGCCCTATACATTGGTGAAATGCACAATGTTCCATAATCACATACAACACTGAATAGGCATTGAATTAACCACAGTACTACTTGTAGTAAAGAACAAAAGTTCCAAGACGTAAACTATATGTTCATACTAAGATTATCCAATGATTTAGTGCTTGGTGACAAACTAGATGGATCCATAAATTGAGATTGATGCTTAGATTAAATTACGAGCACCTTGTTTGATGGCAATCTTAAGGATCCTAAAGCCGCCTGTATTACTGACTAAACCATAATATAATTTTTGTATAACAATTACTTTTTTCCTCTTTTATAGATTTAAAAATTCTTTTCCAGGATTAAAGTATATGTATTAATACGTATCTGTGAAATGGAATTTATGCCGAGAACGTCAAAAAATTTCAAAATTGAAATATTTATCATTTCTTAGTCTAATATGACGCTCTAGAGCTGTTGCATCGTGACAACATTTGCTTCGTGTAAAAGCTGTGCAATCTGTACTTACGAAATAGTAGTCCACAAATTAGTAGTTTGCATGAAAAAACAGCGTGGAGTTTTTAGAAATGGACTTATTGTTAGACGTCTAATTAAAACGTTATTGTATACGAAAATTTATGCGTATATGTGGCACGCGTGAGTGAGATATTGATGCAGTAGTGATGTATTAATGACACGTAAATCGTTTGTGCGTAAGTCCTACTCTCTCTCTCTCTCTCTCTCTCTCTCTCTCTCTCTCTCTCATCATAGCTATCGTATCATAGCTACAAATACGGCGAAAATAGTATAGAAGCTCCAATATATCGAGAACACATTTAAAAAACTTTTAAACTTGCAAACATTATTAAAAAATAGTTTAGAATCATTTTCCTCAGTTTTCAGTGTCTTTTGACAAAATTTGTGCAGATAATACATTATTTCAATAATTTTAGATTATTAAAATGGTAACTCGCATATTACATTCATTATCCTCTATTCTTACATGTTTTTTTAAATGGACAGTTATCGCTATTCGCCTATTGAACTGTAAATCTTAAAAAGAAAACATTTTATTTGCATCATATACAGAATGTTTTATAATATATTAGCATAACTTAAAAAATGAATTCAAGAAACAGAAATAACACAAAAAATTTATATAATACATTCGTTCTATAATCCATCTTGTTTGCGAGTTACAAATATTTTTGTGTTTCATTAATTTTCATTACAAACTAAGCCTAGCTGATTCAGTTCAAATGTGTTTACTATCAATTTAATTTAAGACATTTACTATTAACTAAAGATAGGAATGTGAAGATTTCTAGCTCAGTTTGTAATGAGAATTGATGAAAACGTATTCAGAAATAATGTCAGCTAATACGAACGTTTGTATAAATTTTTTATGTTATATATTTTGTGTCTTGAATTTATTTATAGAGTTACATATTATAAAACATATTATAAAACACCTCGTATTTGGCAGAAAACACAGTTTAAATAAAAAGTCTTTATAAATTGATGTATGTTTATTTTAAAGTTTATACCAAACACTTTTTTTATCAATTTGTTAAATTGATTAATTAATTATTGATAATTATTAACAAAGAGAGTTAATAAAAGTTTTTCTTACAATAACCTAGTCATTCTCATTGATGGCGGAGTGTACTAATTTAATAAGAGTTCTACGTCTGGTCGATTGCCTAAAGGATGTACATACGAGTATATCTAATAATAGTACGAATAGTACGCCTTGACCTCTCTTCTTGCTATTTTATGACGTCACAATGCCATAAATACATCGACGACGTCATCGAAAGCTTACTTTAAGCGAGTGTTGATCGCTCAGTAGAAATGGTCATAATGAGTACAGCCGACACGACGTGGCTCGCGTGTCGGCTAGTTGGTCTCCTTATCAGACGTTTGGCGGAATCTTAAATACGCAATATTTCTTTAATCAATCTCTACCGCCGGAAATAGCAGTATTTAAATCACACGCTGCCTACATATAGTTTCATTTTTTCGTCCCCCGTATCACACATAAAAGATCAGATAATCACATTATAGTGTAGAGGGAGATCGCTGATACCGTCATATCACTTTGTTTTTGGACAATATTTCTTAAACAGAAGCTAAACTGAAATAAAACTTTAAACATAAATACAAACTAGAAAGTGTCTTCTATAGGATAATGTAGTAGTTTTTATAATATTGTTTGCAATTTTGCAATAATTAGTTTCTTCGTAAAATAAGCAAACTGAGAGTCTCATAAAATGGGTCCCAAAATTAATACAGTAGGCAACAATACCACATTTATTTCTATTCTTTTCTTTTTATATATCTGTATAAAATACCTGCAAGTGAATGCATATGAGAATTTCTAGAATCTTTTCATTTCGATATAAAACGTTTTTTTTTTATTTATGTGCATATTTCATGCTGTTTTGCAAGAAGCAAACATGCGATGCGATAATTTTTTTAAAGAATTTTCCTATAAATGCAGAATTGCCTTTAGCTCTGACAGAGCTATTTGACACTATAACGCAACACTCTGTATAAAAAGATTAAGTTAATTTTTTATTTATTTTTCAAACAAATGTGCTGATTTAATAGCTATACCGATTTTATATTTAAAACCGTGTTATGAGAAATAAGAAAGAGAAAAATATAAATAAAACACACTTAGGAAACTACAAACATATAAAACGATGTAATATGTTATTAAAAATATAGTCACTGTTATTTAAATTATGCAGTTTGCAAAAGAAGGTAGTAAGAATTTTATTTTTGCATTTGCAGAATTTGTTTTTAATAGAATTGAAGAAATCTGATTTTATATAGAAATAAGTCAAATAAGCCACAAATATATAAATTATGAGTTTTGCTTCTTCATCAGATTATGTTTTATCAGTATTAATAAAGTGTAGTGTTTAGTTTCTGAGAAATAAGGAAGTCCGATATCTCTTTAAGAAACTTACGTCAATATCAGCGATTTTCCTCAATATAATTGCAATTAATAATGGATTAGCTGTCTGACCACTATAATACGATTAATAATGGACGTACAAGCAGAACGACATTTTCTATGCCATCTTTTTTATTTCTTGAAATATTTTTTTTAATTTTAGTTTTTCTATGTATAATACAGATGATATTGATTAGATTAGATTTGATGATATTGATTAGATTAATTGATTTTGATTAGAAATAAGAAACTATTTTCCTAAATTTCTTAACTTTTGTAATACATTTTTATAAACAAATGTTGTTTGTAGGTAATGATAAATAATACAATTGTCTCAATTTTGTGTAATATTTATGTCTTTTTCATAAACATTTTCTTAAATTTTCGTAAATCTAAAACAATTTACTAGAGAGTATAAAAGATGTGATTAAAAAAATGTCCCCTGGATACGATATTAGTTGCACCACCTGGAAAGAAACACAATTTAATCAATTTGTTATTCTAGTTGTCCTGAATAGTGACAAAACGGAAGGAGGTAAACGATGAAAGAAATAGGTTTCATTAGTCAAACGTTGCTTGAAAAGTGAGAACTATTTCTACCGTTATCGATTTTTACGTAATAATAAAATTTATGGCACTAATAAACTTATTTCCGAGATTGTGTGTTAGAAAAATAGCAATTCGACAGAGCACTGCTTTCCACGCTTTTTATTAGTACCGGTAAAAAGTCTATTCTAGATGGGCCATGTCGTTGCAGGCATATCTTATCGATGCAAAAATTACAAAACAGCTTTCGAATAGTTCTGGCGTGCGAATGCGCGACTCATAATATTGCAAGCACATTATTCTGCTACATAAAAGGTTTTTATATGCCGCAAGAAGGATTCTCGTTATTGTACATTGCTTTAACGTAAGCGAAAATAAAATGCAGCAAAAATTTTCTATTAACTGACACAATCGAGTCAAGGCTACTTACCATTCAAAAAAAGTTGTGAACTTTGCGGATGTTCTACACAAACACCATTCGATATCATGTAGTCCCAAATGCATGCGCATTTTCCGTTTCTGCAAACTACTCTGTTTCGATTCCAGCTTTCATAACATTCTCCCAAATTCGTGCAAGTTTCGCCGAGGACTGTCAAAATATGTCAATATCTTAACAAATAATTTTTACAAAGAAGTCAATTCATTTTTAAACTTTTTTTGAAGTAAATTCAGCATAAATTATTCTTACATTTCTTCTTAAAACAGCTTCCGAATCTGTAATAGTCTTCTTTGCTACAGTTACAAACTTTATTTTCTGATATCCTCGTTAATTCCATTATGTTTGCGGTATCATTGCTCTGTTTATTGATCGCACAAATTGCGCCCGGTGTAATGACAGAGCATTAAATGTCCAGTGAACACGGCTTGCCAAATGATACTAGAAGTATATATGTTAGAATATTCAAACGTTAAAGATACCGTTATTGATAATATAAACATGATAAATTTCAGTTAGCAATATTTTCTTTATGAGACTAAACTATTATAAATGATTACCTGGCATGCATGAATCAAGACACAGACACGTAACTTGGTTTACATAAACAATTCTTTGAAATATACATGGAATTTACCGGTGCACAATCCTCATTACCCGTACAATCAGCATTGATACTTAAAATTTGATTATTGCATTATGAGAACATTATTTTGCTACTTTTATGACTATAAAATTTAGTTAGGCATTAATTATTTACGTGTTATATCATTCCTTAAAATTTGTAATTCGTTCAAAAGTGTCTATATAAAATATAAATATATAAAATATAAAAATATATTTGTAAAATAATAAACCATTATTAGTTTTAAAATGAAAATTAATGTTTTTATAAGAATTGATAAGATATTACCTGCTAAACACTGCTTATGTGATTCATAATGGTTTTCAGCACGTACATAATCCTTTGTGACAAACCAAAGAGGGCACCGCATAATCGCTGTTTACTTCGCAAATTCCTCCAAGTTCTAAAATTTAGTGCAAAGATTTTGTCAAAAGCTACCTAATGAAAAGCAATAAAATAATAATTATTCATCTGTACAACTCATTTTGTCTTTGTTCAAGCGTGTATCATCAGGACAACCGCATGTAATGTTACATATTAAATTGCTTCTAAAATTTTTCACGTAACAGTCTCTATCTTGTTTACAAGTTTTGTCAATTCCCATATTTCCCCAGCAAAACAGTTCACTCTCTACATAATGAGAAACATTTTCATTGCATACACATGTATTATTATTGCATACAGCATTTGGACCAAAGATATAACACTGTTCGTCCAGATGGCAATTTCCCATATACTCTCTGGTCGCGCTGAATAAAATAATATTGAATATCAATATAATTTTAATTCGAATAAAAATTTTTTTACATATACATGTTTATTTATTTTACATTAATTTTATAACACAAAAAAGAGAATTTATCAAAATTGTATGTTGTAATTTAGCTCTTAATTAAAATTACTTACCATCAAGGCATTTGCGATTATCTTTAGATGCAACCGTGCCTTTCGAACAACTCCATCTCCCTTCACGACAAATGGATTTCTGGATGTAATTAACGTTGTCATTTTGACAGGGCTCCCCAAGTTCTGTTCACATAAGTACTCGAATATCATCTGCAAAATAGTGTCTGCGACGTTAATATTACCTGGGATACATTCGGTGTCTGTGTCAAATGAGAAATGTGCACGTCGCAACGATATGTTCCAGCAGGACTGCATATGGCATTTTCCACTACTTTGCAGTCCTCGTCAGTCGTACAATTACTGCCTATTCGAGTTCCTGATAGAAACATACACACGTATAGAGACACTTTCAGTTTCATCAATTTATTATTATGAGAATTTTTAAATATTTTACATTTAAATTATTGTACATTTGTTATAATTCACATACTGATCATTATCCAAAAATTTTTTTATTAATATAACATCAGACGAAAGTTCAACACTTTTATTGGCATATTTCATAGCACATATGAAATTATTACACATTGCGTTATCAAAAGAACAATCGATATCAATTGTACATTCATTGCCGATGGCTACGCAAATAATAATATTATATATTACACAACATAATACTTCAATGTTGTATTATAGTGCTATATTCAGCCTGTGTATTGTCATTGTGAATATGATCCTTACTTTTTCCCTCTCTTCGACAAGTGCGATATTCGCGCTGATAAAAACCACGACTACATTTGCAAATTCCTTCATCGCAAATACTTGCTTCGAAATCGGCATTCACATAACAGTCAATGGTTTGCTTGCATTTTTCAAATAAACCTACAGATTAACAATATTTTTTGTTACATATTTTTCATCTTTAATATTATAAAAAAAAAGAATAAAAAGTCCCTCACCAATGTATTGGTTACATCTATAGATAATAGTAACCAGGACCACATATACAAATATTTTCCACGCATTTAGCACCACTCAGGAGATAAGCCGAACACTGCACTGTTTCCTCGCATGTGTGTATCATATAATCTAGTCACAACTGTGAAACGTAGCGATAATTTCTTTGTTCACATAAAATCAAGTATTGGAAAACAATTAAGTTTCGGTGAAACAATGTATTTAAAAAATATGGAAACATTTAATGCTCTAACCGCCCAGTATAGCCCCAGACTAGCCTTTCAATATAGCGCCTACATTAATTCGTGAAAAACTTATAGATAGGGCCCATATAGCGCCAGGTCGTACTTTCCACCCGGGTTATAGAATAAAAATTAATATAATTATAGAATTAAAAATTAATATAATTTTTATGAGAATTTTTGAATAAAGATATATATTTTACATTGTGTGTGTGTGTTTCTGTAACATAGGACTAAGAAAATAAATTTGACTTATATAAGGAATAAAATTGAATAAGGGGGGGGTTTAGCTCTTTTAGTTAGTCACTTACTACTAAGATATTTGCGATTATTTTCAGATACAACAGTGCCTTTCGTACAACTCTGTCTTCCTTCATGATAAATGGATTTCTGAATATAGCTGACACCATTATTTTAAAAGGACTTTCCAAATTCTACGGATATAAATGCCTCAATTTCATTACTTGCAAAATTGTGCCACGTTAATATTACCTGGGACAGATTCGGTGTTGGATGCGAAATATGCACCGTCACAACGACATATTCTAGTAATTTAGTAGGACGGCATATGGTATTTCCCACTACTCTGCAGTCGGTGGTATAAATTACTGTGGTGCTTACCCAAATTCTTTAAAATCACACGTACGAGTGTGAGATACTTATGGTTTCATTAAGGATTTTTATTACATATTTATTTGTACTATTACTCATTAATTGTTATAGTAATTGTTATTCGTATATTAATTTTTTTCCAAGATTTTTTTTAGTAATACGATATTGAACGAAAATTCAAGTTTTATCGATTTCGGATTTTACAGCGCAAACCCATATGAATTCATTATGCTGAAAATATCTACAATTAATATTAATTGTACATTCAATGATATAATACTGTACTAATGGCTAAGCAAATAATATTAAATATTATTTTACAATACCATATTTCAATGTCATAAACATAAAATTTACAAATAAGACTTAAAATAACACAATAACTTATAAAATATATTTACATAGTTTTATTAAGGAATAAAAATTATAAATATATATATATTTATAATTTTCATATATACATGAAATAATAGATAATAATTATAATCTTTGACATGTATTACAAGGGTTATGATATAAGTTACATGTTTCATGTAATGCATTTATTAGATTTAGTACACTGCGCATTTTGTATACTTTGGATATACAATACATCTGTCCACAAAAAATGCAATATGTGTGTGTGTGTGTGTATATATATATATATATATATACACAAACGGATAGGATATATTGGCGCAAAGAATATAAGAGCTAAGCACACTTAAATTTTGCTGTGCTCTATTTTTTACTATCTCTCTACATTTATGTACCACCAAATAATCATTAAGCCTTTTGAAATTATTACAGTAATCATTTTATGTAGTTAAGTCATCAACGTGACAGTGCAATCATATATTATTTTATGATATATGATTGTACTACTTACCACGTTTATAAATCTATTCAACACTGAAAAAAATGCGTGTAATTTTATATGGAAATTACATGTCTATGACTGAAAAATTATCTAAATTACTTAAATATGATTAGAAATTTACAGGAAATTGTAAATTTCCAATCATATTTAGGTAATTTTCTAGTCATGGACATGTAATTTCTATGTAAAATTACTTGCATTTTTTTCAGTGAACTAACAGTAATTTTATTAACAACCTGAAATTATAACACAGTACTTAATATAATATAAAGGTATTTAATAGAGTGGTTGCGTGCAAATTCCCGCCACTCCTTCTATTTCTCTTGACTTTTACGACGTCCCAATGCGATGTGAATATCGGAGTTATTATGTATATATAAATAATATGAATATAAATAATGTGAATGATATATTATGAAAATAACTACAACTGTTTGAATTCAATTGAATTAATAAATTTTAGACAATCTACGATCAAAAATTGACAAGTCAGCGATCAAAAAATGAGCAAAAAATACAATATGCTATTAATTTGATGTAACAGTAATTTGTAAAATATTTATTATTTTCAATTTTTGATCTACAAAATCAATTTTCATAAATTTATTTTTCTTTGAATTTTTCATGGCCTTCATATGGAAAATTTATTTCAAAATTGTACAACTATATATATATATATATATTTTTAGTGAGGTGAGTTTCCGTTGACAGCAAGACATAGTCATCAGCTTTGTTGACCCGGGAAAGATAATTGATGACCCGATGAGCATCTTCTTCATACCTAAAAATGTAGAAGGGGACAGCTTTTATCTCGACCTTTTGCTATTTTACCAAGTCAAGATTAGTTGGTATTTCTGCGCTGAACATTTAACGATGTCATTTCTCTGAAGGATGTTCAGTTTACGATTATTCGCTCAACATGAAGCAGCAGTGGAGCATTAGTGAAAGTGAGCAATATTATTCGCGTCATTATGTTAAATGTAAAAGAGTGATAATTATTCATATCGTAATTATAGATATTTATTAAAATGTTGTTTAAAAGTTTACGGTCTTTATACGATAATATATTTTTATTCTTACCATTTTATTTTTTTATTCTTATAAAATAATTATTTGTTGTAATGTGAAAAATATCGTTGTATATGGATTTTTACGTATAGTAAACACACTTATTTAATTTTTTCATTTAGTATTCGAGTCTTCAAATAAATATGTTTATTAATTAAACATAATTATTTTGTGAATAAAATGTCTAAATAAATAAAAATTTAAATTTGCACAGATAATATAGAACTTTTGGAAGAAGGATTGTATCAGGGGAAGCAAAAATGCATAAAAAGGATTATATATAAAACCAACTGTTGCACGCGATTCATACTTTATCTCAAGCTGATATTCTTATTGGAAGTGATATTATTCTTCGGATGGGGTTGTTACATGATCTCACAGACTTATCTTCCCAAAGTAATAGAAAATGAGGCTACTTTTATCACTCTGGAGAAATATCCATCAGTAATTGGATCACTGTCTG